GAAAGAGTATGGTGAGGAAGTGGTCCTTAAATATCACTTTTGTCTTCTCACTGCAAAGAAGAACACAAAGGGTTGAACACAATGAGAATACAAAGCGAGGGGGTGTAACACAAATTGTCACCCAAATATTCTATTTCGCTTTGTCCATTCTAAATACATAGTCGTCCACAACATGATGAAGGTTTTCTTGTATCAATTACACATCAAGATCCAACCAACAATTGGATTTAAATTTCTTGGGTGAATCATGAGTTAGTCAAGATTTAGATCTGGAGTCGATATTTTCCTTTTTTTTGAGTTAAAGAGTGTGCAAAGAGCAAATGCAGAAAGAGCTATTCGGTACCTCTCAGTGAGTGGTCGTGTTGTGTTTGAAAATGAAGCCACTGAATCCGAACCGGGATTCTTCCCCTCAGGTAAAACGGATTGACGAGGTTCACCAATCTCGTCACTGCTGCTGCAAGAATCGGCAAAAACAGCGGCACTTGAAGTTGGTTCAGATATTGTCCAGCAAATATTCTCCATCAAGCTGTTCTGTGTAATTTGTCTTATTGGATTTTGACATGTCTGAAAAAACATCCGAAAATTGGAACAAGAACGGCTTTAGGAACTATCTGGAACATGTTATATTATTTCATGTGAAATCCAACCTCAGGGATGAAAAATAATATTATTTACTTACCTGCATATGGAGACTGCGTCGCTTTCTAACCCCCTTTTTAGCAATATTTACAATCTCTTCCCGTTCTTGTTTTGATTTACTTAATTTGAGAGCATTCCGAGGGTTATCTTCCTCACGAATTCTCTGCAAATTTTTAAAAGATAGACCATAAGAACCAATGCTCGTATCATTTAAGATGAAAGAAGGCGGTGAGAATATATAGAGGGAGACCAACATATGATAGAAACAATATGTAAAAGATGAAATCGAACATGAAAGGCATCGCCCAACAGAAAATCCCACATAAGAAAGAACAACGATGTACCTCCTCTGAAGAGCCATTTTGAAGGTTTTCAAGCATCAGTTCTAAATGCCTGGCTAAATCAGGCGATATGTGAACAAGCCTCTGCATACGACTCTCCACCGATTTCAGAATCCATAGAGGCTGATGTAAACCATATAAGCAAACAAATTTTAGTTTTTTTTTTCGATTTAACCAGTGCAAAACGTACACAAGGCAATGGAGTTGTAGCCATCAACATCAACATTTCGGGGAATCAAGAAGAAATTAGCATCAAACTCTTCGCATGTTCACAGAGAAATTCCATAACATGAGAGGTATATCTTTTGGAGAGCATGACAGAAAGAAGCACTCACTGAGACAACAGTGTTCACATGCCCGAGATATCTCCCAACAGAGGCACCTTCACACACCACGAGACTCGCACCGGAACCAATAAACCAAGAATTAACAGGCTTTGCACCTTGATCTTCAGCAACCCTCAATACCTAAACAAAAGAGGTTCTTTTTGTTTAGGGAATCGTATTTAAGATATCTCATCATGGCAGTCGGTTGGAGACACCCATTGAGATGACGGAAAGAATAAGAATTACTAGTTTGATGAAACTCACCTTATTGCGGAGATCATCTGAAATGTCTGAATCCACATACACAAAATGCTGAGATAGAGCCAAGTAAAGTTCTGATGTGCCAAAATGTACACCTTGGTCGATTGTACCCGAATGACAAACAATTTCAGGTCCAAGAAATCGGCTCAATCCATCCACATTTGCATTGTTTTGTCCCACTTTCTTGACACTATAAAGAGATTCACTCATCCGGACTACAAAAAAAAAGATGAAATACAGGCTCTCAGTCTCAGCTATCAGTATCAGATGCAGCAAAAGTGAAAAATCTATTTGAAAATGTCTACAATTTACCTATTCCAGACAGTATCACCATCATGAGTAATTTTAACTGACAATGGAATAAAAACAGTTCCGAGTTTTGCAATACCACGTAAAGGAAAAGCAATACAACCACATAAGTTCACAACGCTAAGCTACGCAATTATCACTGGGCACTGATCTAAACAAATGTTGAAGGAACCGATAGAAAGTCTGCAAGTTCATGAAGTGTGAACAAAACTTTCTCAACTTTGATTATATATCATCGAGTCAGCACCAACAGAAAATAAAAAAGAACATCATATCAGGAAATCATTAAGCCTACAATTTAGAACGCACTCGAAACGTACCATCTCTTTTGACACTATCAACAAACCATGCAATTGTGACAATGAAGAGACCATTTCTTGGCCCGTGCTTCAGTGCATGCTCATACTTACGTCCACCGAAGCTGTAATAATGTTGTTAAGAATCCTCGAAACATGGCGACAAGAACATCAAATACTTGTGTATCTCAATTGAGATACATACAAATATAAGTATGCGTGTGCATGTACAAACACACATACACATATACATATATAGATATATATTACATATATCTACACTGTATATGTTTATAATTCGAGGATAAAGCTTGATTAAGGTAGAGCGCCATAACTGAGTAACCATATGGTACTAAACACAATAAAACCCACATAAATGGAAAGGATATCTGAACAACCAAATGGGTACATTGCGGGTGAAGGTGAGGACTGTACTGGCCACCGAGTCTCTCCGTGGCTTCCTTGACTTGCTTTCTCGCATCTATAACAGAAACAAGAGAAATGGTCTAAGTTCGGGACACATCATACTTCAAACTAATTATTCAAAGGCACAAGGAAAGTAGTAACCATACGTATATAGTGGACAAGATTCAAGATACGGAATACAACAGTGTAAAAGACGATCAACGTCGCCCCAAGGCTGATATTAGCTCAATGTACATTAGCAAACAACCCGCTCATGTATAAACAAAATCTCTGAAATCTCTTGCCATGTAACAGTTCATGATCAAGCTTTTTTTATTGTGTAGAAACAAAGAACCAACTTAGTATCATGTCAAAAACTAAATTTCAAGTCATCTCATAAGCACCCTCTCCCAGTGACGCAGCTTTCTTCACTGCAAATGCAAAGCCAACATGAACAACAACGACGACAACAGCACGTAGATCCCAAACCAAGAAATCTAAGAACGAATGAATCCTAAGAAAACTTTGAACTATACAAGAACCTAATTACATTGGAATCTAAACAGACACATATATATACATGCTTTTACCTCTGGATAAACCAGTGACGCATATAATCAGACCAGAGAATGGTCCATTGGATTGAGACATGGGAACTGGTGAAGATGGTAAACCAGGAAACAGGTTCGAACAACCCTTGGTCTGGATCAGACCAACGCTTCTTCTGAGAGCACCCATTTCTCAGATGTGTCTGAACAGTGAAACCTAGTACCACTTCCCCATATAAAGAACTTCTCGATCCTTAATTCAAAACAGGGAATCATTGCAGAAGGACCAAAACCCAGATAGCAAAGAAATCTAAAGGAACACTTTCTCGGAAAAAGATGTGAAAAAAGAAACGAAATTGTGAGGGGGCAATTTCAACAACAAAAGATGATTTTTAGGTTTTTGTGAACCAGGAAAGAGGGGAAGTTTCGTAATCTCGGTCGGGGTGTGGAAAAAGATGGATACTTTTAAGGTGTGGGAGCTTTATCAGGAATTTGCTTTAATGGCGTGTTCCAAAGAGAGTGATGACAGTGCCCACCAATCTTTTTGAAGTTGCGAGAGGAGAGCGAGGAACAATCCAAATTTCAAACGTGGAGACCCTCATCTTTCTTATGCGTTAATACCAGGTCGGCGCCCAAGCCCAACAGTTTAATGGGCTTGAGCCTATTATTTGAATAATCATTTAATTTATATTTTCTAACAATCAATATATCGATAAATAAAAATGATTTTATTTGAAATACGATTTGTTTCGGATCAATTTGGTTATTCCGGTTATTTACCGAATCCACCACCCCTATAAAAAACCCTTGGAAAAGTCCCATTTCGATCAACCAAATCATCAGGCTTTAACCGAACCATTGACTTTACCTAGATCATTTGCAATACCCTGATTCTCGAATGAACTATTTAATTTATTTTCGGAATTAAATTTCGGAAGTAAAAGAAGGTAGATCAAGTCTAAAAAGTAAGATAATTGACATAAATATAAAATCAAAGGACAAACGAGATTAAAACACGTCGAAAACGTTGAAAAACAAAGAAAAAATTATCTAGACCAGTCGGTTTATAGGTAGACCGATCGGTCCAGAGTCAAAACAGAGAAAAAGTTGACTTTCTTCCGATGTCGGCCGCGATTTTCTCGCAACATATCGACTCCACGAACGAACGACCGCCACCCAGGCGAAGTGGGCGACATCCTCTGGCCCTCATACCCTCTCCCTAGTCCCTATGGCAGAGCTAGACGTCGTTTTAACCAACTCGAACAGAGCAAGATGGTCATTCTGCAACCCAGAAACTAGTTTTTGAAAAGAGAGGAAAAAAGAGAGATTCAGGGAGAATTGAGGCAAAAAAGGCTCACAAATTCGAAGAGGGCCACCCCTAGTAGGTTCTTGGAAAGTGTCACGACCTGAGACGACCCGTAGAACGCACACGTGCTCGGCCAAAATCACACAACACTTAAATCCAAGGTGAGTGGTTTTGAGTTGAGTTTGGGAGATTCAATTCTCATGTCGAATGGTGTAGATTAGTGTTTCTACAAGGATTTAGGATCTAGGGATGTTAAATAATGAGTGGATAGCAATCAGAATCGAAATTGGATCAAAATCTGGTAAAAAATGGCGAAAATCGAGCAAGAACTTGCAGGGAAGACGAAGTCCAGGTCCCAGACCGATTGGTTAGTGCGAACCAAGGAGGAATTATCAAAAAATGTGTAGATTGGTCGGTCTATCTAGACAGACCGACCGGTCCAGGCGAAAAACGAAACTACCGAAATGGTTGCACCGTTCGATCCACGTAGTGAACCGAACGAACTGGTTGCGATTCCAAAATGAGGTGGACTAAGCTGAAAGATCACAAAAAACGTAACATAAAACGAACACTTTTAACGAATCAAACTAGAACAATAGATAAGGTATAAATGGAGTAAACGATAAAATAAATGAGTTAAATGAATATAGAAAATGTGGAAATACATATATAGAAAATGAATTATAAGTCGATGTGAGTATGATGGATAAACTCAAGAGAGAATCCAAGGAATGTTAATGTAGGAATAAAAGATAAATGATTGTGGATATGCATGTGTTTAAATGGTTGACGGACTCTATACTTAATACCGGTTGACAGCGTGAGTCAGTACTAAGTACGGAGCAAAAGAGATGGCATATCCAGTATCGGTTGATGAATTGAGTCAGTACTGGCAGATTGTGTGGATATTCTATAAAGTACCGGTTGACAAGGTGCAGTCAGTACTATTATAGTAATATGTGGTGGAACCAGTACCGGTAGACGAATTGAGTCAGTACTGGTGTTTTTTGTGGATGCTCCTACAACAGTATCGGTTGACGAAGTGAAATGAGTATTGTTATAGGAATGTTTAGCGAAGCCAATACCGGTTGAAGGCGTGGAGTCATACTGGTAGATCTGTGTGATAGTCTCTGTAATAGTACCGTTTGATGAAGTGGAGTCAGTACTATTACAGAGAATCAGAGTTGAATCTGGTACCGGTAGATGATTTGAATCAGTACTAGATGATATCGATAATGCACAGAATAATAATTGGAATTAATGAATTATAATGGACCGTTGCATAAAATTAAAAATGGATAAGTGAAAATAGGGAAATTTTTGTATAAAGATATTAGTTGACACCATTCTTCATGAGAACGGGCTCTTTGAACGCAACCCGAGTTGCTCACTAAGCGATATATTTAGCCCTCCGTTGTTGAATTTTTCAGATCCCGAGGAACACGAGTATCAACACGGTTGACGACTACCGAGACTTTACCACATGTACGGGGTTTTGGACTATGGTTTGGATTGGGGACAGTGATCACATACTTTCATTGTTTTTAAATTATCTTTCGGACATGTATTAATACCAAGCTTTTGTAATAATTGTGTTTTTCCGCTGCGTATGTTGAAGTTTAAAATGTTTAAAAATCTCGTGTTTTATGTTATATGCCAGTTGTGTATTTTGTCTATGTGTCGCATCCTGGTTACGGAATTCAGGATTCAGGCGTCACGCCATTGATCGAGATATTCCCGTAGACAACGATAAATATACTCGGAAAATGTCCTTGGTAGATTGTAGAAATTTTTATCATGTTATGGGTAGCTGTATAAATCCTATAGATATAGAGAGCGATAAATAGATCGATTTTGCTATTGTTCATGAGGATAGATAGCTATCTCGCTTTTGATTTCCGTTTTGACTTCTGGTTCTCACTTTCTGAACACTTTTCTTTGAGTATTTGTTCAAATACCAATAAAGATCTAAATTTGATAACATGTAAAGCCTCTCATATTTTAATTGTTTGCTTAAAGTTTCGTACCCATTTCGCGCTATTCATAAGTATTCTAGATCTTGTTAGGCATTGTTTTACACATTTGATATTTGAACAAGTAATTGTGTGTAAGTTGGAACCAAAAGAGTAAAAATATGAAACATTTGCATCCACTTCAAAAAAAAAAGTAAAGAATTCAGTCATGCTACACTGATCGAATTATCCAAGGACTTGCGCCGAGCTTACTCTAATTCTAGTTAATCCGCAATTGAACATGACGAAAGTCTCGGACGGAGCTGGAAGATTGCCCTATATCTAGGAGTGTCAAAGGAGCCGTCTCGGATCGTTTTTGGCTTGGCTCATTTGGCTCGGATTGTTTTGGGCTCAACTAGCCAAACTCGTTTTCTAACGAGCCAAAAAAACCTCGACTCAGATTGCTAACCAGTTTTCAGAGTTGAACGACCCAGTTCGTTGAATTAGAGATATATAATATTTTTTATTCATATTTATTTCGAATTTAATGATAAATTAAAATAAACATATAAAAAATATATAAAATTTCAATACCATAAACTATATAAGAAAAGTGTTGATCGGAATTTTAGAAGATAGAAATAACAATTCAATATGGTCCAATAAAAAAACATGTTAATATGATAATAACAACAAAATATATCTCAATAATATGTGTATATTTATACTCTAATTTTTATTTAATATTTTGTATTATCACCATCACAATAATTGAGAGATTTAAAATATCACATGACTAATTTTTTGTGTTATTTTAGAGTTTTTTATATTATAATATATGATATATAAATTAATAAATAAAAGTAATATGTTTAATTTTTTTTAAAAAAATCCAGTTCATTGGACTCACCAACTCGTCGAGCTAGTTTGTTACGATCACGAACTTAATGAACTGGCTCGCCAGACTCGTTTTTAAATTAACCGAAAAAATCATAACTCAACTCACTCATTTTTTGGCGAGTTACGAGTTGGTTCGCGAATCGGACTCGTTTTGATACCCCTACCTATATCCCTTCAACTCAACCGGAATCAACATTTCAGTCTTGTATTTGTTTAGCTTTTATCCAAACTGTTCAACCAATCTCAAGAGTTCTGTTTTTAAAAAAAAATTAGAATAAACTTATGTTTTCTTGAAAATAAATGACAAAATCACTCACTTGAAAATCATTGCAAATTACCAATATTCATTTTTCTTATTCTATTTTTTTTTTTATTATTGTTGTTGTTTTGGCTTCACAACTCTAACAAAGAACAAAAGAAACAACGCGTACAAATGAAAAGAAAAAAAAAAGAGAGAGAAGGGGACCTTCCACGGGATTTGAATCAAAGAAGAAAGAAACGTGTGAAGTTACAGACTCTTCTAACCTAAAAATTGTTTTGCGTATATGAGCTGATTTCCTCACCATGCCACTTTAACTTGGCCAACAAGTAACTGAACCCACCAAAACCATTTCGCAGTTCTTGCTGAGCAACTCAAGAATGCCCTTAACAGCTTACCCTAACCCTAGGGCTCGGAATTCCCATGTACGCAAGCCGAGGAGAGACCCGAACTTTAGGGCTAGGCCTCGGAGACGGGATTGGAGCACAAGGTGTCAGTCGGCCCGAAACTGGAGAAACCCTCGGCGAGAGATTCACTTGTTCAAGCGCTTGAGACTGCAACTCCATTGGATAATCTCTAACACACCCAATTCTCGGTCCGACACCGCTTGTCCATTTACAGGACAACCTCTTCGCATGTTCGAACGCAGCTACTTCTTTCTCTTCTGCTTCTTTGTTGTCTGAAGCAGCGGTTTCCGGATGCACTTCGGTTTCTGAGACCTCCTTTGTCTCCTCGGGTTTTGATTCATCATCGGTTGATTTGAATGATGACGAGTATTCCTCGTTCACTGAACACCTCTGAAACCAGATACAGATATTATGAGTACACTCTTCAGATGTCAAGAGCAAGAAGAAGAATCTCGGCAGCCGAATGTTTTGCTAAGTTTAATCAGGATTTATTACCTTAACATTGGTGAGATCCACGTTGTTCTCTTCAAGAAAACATATGAACTCCTTGAAATTATCCTCTGTCGGGAGGTAATGGCCGCTGTATGGCCAAATAGCCTGAGGAAAACGTAACGGTAAGATCTTTAGTTCTAGAGGTCAGCAGATTTCTACCGCAAAATCACCAAAATGAAAAAATCTTTTATCGGAAACGAAAAAGAAAACTGATATAATTACCTCAAGAATCCCGTCATGGGCGACCAATCTTCCTGCAGCGGTTGTGGCACCTCCAGATAAGAAACTCGAGTGCTGAAAAACGCCTTTCTTCTTCTGCCCCACGTACAAAGCTCTGGAAGTGCTAAGTACAAAGATCCATTTCGTATCCTCTGTTGTATCGATCAGAATCCCGCTTTTCTTGTACATGAGTAACCCGTTTTCCACAATTACTTCATAACCCTCTCTCTCGTTCTGCAGATTGAAGAATAAAACCGTTACTGAGTAACATAAAACCGATGAGTATTGCTAGATTGATTCCATGTCTCTGTGGTTAAAACTCTGGTGTGAAACTCACTGGTCCGAGATATTTGATGCACTGTTTTTGAAGAACGGTTCTCGGGTGGTGCTCAAGATTAACATCTTTGCCGTCACCTATGTCCAACCTGCAGTTTCGGAAAGATGGACATAATGTTCAGTAAAAAAACTGGGCCGTAAGAGATGTAAGGAGCATACGAGATTAATGTTGTTTTCCGTTATACCAGTAGAAGAATGGTTGTGTGCTTTTGGTCACTGACCATACGTCGTAATAAAAGTGTAAGTTGTGGCCATAACGGTGTCGTGGATCAATCTGTAAGGTATAGGAAAAGAGCTTAGAAATCAAAATACAAATCCCAAAACAGCCTAGACAGGTTATATGACTGACTGTTCACCGAGATTTCTAAGAGAATACAAGGGAGCAGTTTTTGTTGAATGTCAAGATTCTGATCAAGGCACTTACAGCTTCAAGCCAATGCTGAAGAGCTAATTTCTGAGCTTTTTCATCTTTTGACAAGCCCTTACCGACCTAAAAAACCAAACAAGAATAAGATCCATGTCAGTTTTCATAGAGATAAGATGCAGTTCTGCTGATACACAGTAAACTTTCTGGGCAATCATCAGAAAAAACAAAAACTTCTTGTGCTTAAGGATGGTTCACCTTAGCAGCTCGGTTCTTAGCACGTGCCCACTTTGAAACCGCAGTTTCATGTTTCTCAATGTCGAAGAAGGAGACTGAGCTCAAATTTAGAGTTGCAGCATCTAGAGTCTTCCACCTTCAAAGTGTATTTGGAAATTCAAGAATCAGTGTCTAACTTTTCAAGCACATAACCGCAAACACAGAGAGAAAAAAAGATGATATAGAGACACGTACCAGAGCTCTTCAACCACAACAGCACAATCTGCTAAGTTCCTTCTCGTCCGGTAACTCTTGTAAACCTTTTGCAACTTAGTTGCAGCAGCATCAAGTTCAGTAACCGGTCTTGGAGAGAAGAACACCACAGGTCCAGGGAGAGTAACCGTGGGTTTTGTTATTTGGATTCTTTCACATGTTCTTCCGTTCAAATCATTAGAAGCTGATCTCTTTGTGTTGACCACTTCTTCTTCTTCTTCTTCTTCATCTGCCCCGTTGACTGATTCAGCTTTTGACTCTTCAGATTTTCCCCAGGTTTTGAAACTCAACGACCGCTCCATTGATGAACCACCTGGATCAAGCTCCGGAAAATTCTCGACCATACCTGCCTTGAAACTGTTGCTTCTTGATCTCAAACCTCCATCTCTCACTTTAAAGCTAAGGGACCTGACTGGTTTCTTGATACCGAGAAAATAGTTCTTCAAGTTATTCAAGATGTCCTTCCAAGCGGGTAAGAGCAGCGAAAGAGACAGACCCATTTCCTGACCAGAAGCAACAGGACAAGAACCTCAACTTGTCCCAACAAACACAATAAACAAAGCTCCTGCAACACATTTAATCCAAAGATACATCAACGTTGACCCCTTGAATTCCGCATAAATTAATCAACGTTTTCATTTATTATATTTTCTGGTCAGAGGTTACTGTCATCGAGAACCAATTAATGGCAGCAAAGGAACAAGTCATACCTAATCAAAAGCACTGGACTTTGATCCAAAATCTTGTAGAAGAAAAAAAGGGGAAACCACGGCAAAGAATTCTTGTCTACCCTTTTCTCAAAGCTAGAATTTTTTTGTTGTTTAGTTTTTTTTCCTGGAGCTGGAAATCAAAAAGGTTCCAAATTTGACCACTCCGAAAGTGAAACAAAAAATCTACGGAAATAGATATTTACTATATCCAGAAAAAAAAAAAAGAGAAAACAACTCATTCAGAGATTTTAACGAACACCTTAAGGTACATGACAAAAAGAGTTCGTTGATTGAACTTCTGGGCAAACGGCATATCAAGAGCCAATTAAAGGTTCGAAATTTGAGTGATTTAGCCATTAACGTGATCTTGTAACAGAACCCAAAAGAGACAGAAGACAGAACAAACTGACATACCTTAAATTTTTTGCAGAACGGTTAGAAAAAGATTATTTTTCGTTTTTTCTTTCCCTCTTTGCTTTCCTCTAGAGATAAAAACCTAACAAGGTATATGACTACCAAATTGAAGAGCCCTCTGCATACATACATACATATATATATATGGTGGTGTATATATACAGTGGGCAGTTGACGACTATGAAGAGTACAAAATGATGAAAAAAAAATCAAAGAGGTTTACTGAAGATTCAAAGATGGTGTGTTTCTAAAAAAGGTTTGTAGTATTTTAGATTAAAATGGGAGAAGAAATGGATGCCAGAAGACAAGGACTTTGGAACCCATTGTTGATGGAGGCTGGAGAAGGCAAGTTCATGGAAGTTATTGCGAAAAGGACAATTGCCAGTCTGCCTCCTTGTTTTCATATTTTTAGTTTTATTTTTCAATTAAGAAAAAAAATCTACTATAAATTACTTAATTTTATGTGAAATAAATATTTAAATTTGAAATTTTAATAATTTATATTTTAAATATTAAAATATTTTAAATTGATCATTCAAATATTAAAATCTTTCAAATTCATATCTTAATTTACAGAATCGATGACAATTTATAACATCAATTTGCTTTTTAAATTAAAAATTCTCGTCAAGGTCAGATTTGAGAACTACAGTTGATTAGATATCAATTTAAAATATTTTATAATTTGAGATATCAAATTAAAATATTTTATATTTAAAATATTAATTAGTTCAAATTAAAATTTTAAATATATATTTGATATATTTTATAATTTGAGTATTTATATAATAAAAAAACAAGAATGATTTATGTAACATTTTTTGTATTTTTTTTCTAAAATAAAATCACAAAAATAGTTTGTAGGATTGATAATTATATAATAACGTATATTATCATATTATGGTTTAGAACTTTAACATTTTTCTCAGATTTTAGTAATTAAAATTGAGTTTTTGCATATGTTTAAAATTAATACATTTCATTTAAATTAATTCTTTACAATAAATATATAAACTAATATTTTATCAAATTAATTCACAAAAATATATAAAATAACTATTTTTTATATATAGTTCTTGATATTATATAATAGTACAATTTTTTTAGATTTAAATTTTTTTGGTCAAATTTTAATAGACTAAATTTAATCTTCGTGGATAAATTTTGCTATAAATTAATATGTTAATTTAAATGTGTTTGAACCTCCTGTTAGAACTAAACGGATGTTTTCTTTTATCGATTAAGAATTCCATAATTTTATTTGCATTACATTTACAAAAATTATACGTATAGTCTAAAACCAAATTATAAAAGTAGCCATTGAATGTTCAAATCAAGGTTAGGTACATCATCAGTTTTTAATATATAAACTTTCATGAACGATAATCTGTAATTGAGAATGTAAAATCGACAGACGCCATATGAACACACACACACACATATATATATATATATTATACTACCATGAATGCCGACTTAACTCCGTTGAATCCAAGATAAATGCTGACTAACAGACACATGCGAGCGCATATATATATATATATATAGTAAAAAAATTAATCCATATAAATTTAAATCCATTCTAACGAAAGAAAAATTCAAAAGCGATATATATAATTTATATATACCTAAATTAAAAAACTAATCCAATCGAAATCGAATTAAAATGTGACATCACCCAATTATACAGAATATTAGAACATAGAAATATAATATAGAATATAACATTTCTCTCATTTGGTTTTCCCAAATGGGTATTTATCAATCACTTAAATGCGTTTTAATTAGGTATAAAGATTAATAGGGTCTAAAAATGAGATATTTCCTAAGAAAAGGAAAGATTAGATGTATATACATATACATATACATAAAATAAAACTACAGGTGTATATCTATATATGCAGACACATGATTGTTGTGTACATTGTAAATATTAGGGTGGATGTTTCAATATTCGATTCGCATTCAATTCGTTTCTTTCGGTTTTACAAAAATATGTCGATTATTATATCATACTAGGAGAGAACCGCGCGATGCGCGGTTTATTTTTTTTTGTTGTTGTTAAATTTAAATGTTTAACTTTTTAGTAAATAATTTAATAAAAGAATTTAAATATTATTGCATTATTATTGTATAAAAAATGTTAGTTGAGTAAGTTTGTAAATGTAATTTCATATAATTTTCACATTCAAATGCATATTTAGTCAATATAATTATAATATATGTATGTGAATAAATAAAATATTAGTTGTTTTCAAATTTTGCAATGTTAGAAAACAAAAGGTAAATACAATATTGAACATAGTATAACAAAAAAACACTAAATATTAATAAAAATATTATTCGTTTTAGATGTATCGTACGCTATGTTTTTTATTTTCACATTTAAAAATAATAATTGATGAATTTGTTTAGTATAAAATTTTAAAATTTTGGACAATATAGATAATTTTTGTTAATTAATACTGTGAATACCATATATAGTAAAAATAAATTTTAGTAGTTAATTATTAATAGCTAAAGTTTAAAAAAAAAAGAGTACAGTTAAAGTTATTCTTTTCTCATATACTTTTAGCATGAGAAATAAAGATATATTTTTTTTAATTTTTATTTTTAAAATATAATCATTATCTCATTGATATAATTTGTTGAAAAATTTTCTCCTATTTATGCATTTGGAGATATGTTTTTGAATTTTACTCAAAGTATCGCCTATAAATTTACATACCAATTTTGAGGTCATGAAAATAGATAAAAGATCAAATCAAAATAAATCTTATGTCCTAAAACACAATCGGTTCATCTACTTAGATAAAACCATCTAAATTGATAACAACGGAAAATACAATCAAAGGATTGAATTCAAAACCCAGAAATGCTAGACAGTATCAATCAATCAATTAAAAAAATTTAAAAACGTGACAGATTCATCATTTTGTTTATTAAAATAATAAAATCTTTACTTTTTGCATAAAAATCATCAAAACCTCCTAGAAAAAAGCCATTGTTACATTTTTTATGTAGCAATCAAATGTTTCATTTTTTTTTTCAATGTTTATAACTCTATATTACTTTAGTCGGAGAATATCCACTCATTTGACGCAAAAATAGTTGGAGATATCAATATAATTATCTTGATATAATTTATTTTTTTGATATAAATAAGTACATCGGTAAAATTAAATTATTATAAAATTATCATATATTCTTTGTAAACTTTTTCAGAGTTGAAGTTTGTATAGTTTGTCTGAAACTGCTTTATTTTATTGTTTTTTATTTTTTTATTTTAGATTGTTTAAGATATTAATATTCTATATAAATCAAAACAATAATATTTTGATTGGATTTGTAATGAAAACAAAATTTTGATTGTCTGTTCAAGATTTTTCTATCTAATTACATTTTAATATTTTTGTTATATTTTATTCATAAAATTTTATATTTTAATTTTATAAAAACTATAATAAAAAATTATATAATAAATTATTTTTTTTTAAACTATAATAATCTAATTGTATTTTTTTTTATTTTATATGATCATCTATTTTTAAATTATTTTACATGTTTAATAATTAGTGATAATCTAATCAAATTATATATAATTATTAAAGATATTAATTTACTAATGATAATTAATTTTCACATATATGATGATAGGGAGGATGAGGTGGCTTCACAAAAAAATAAGTTTTCTGATTTTAACTTGATTGTTTTCTAATTTAATTTTATTGACACATATATTAATTGTGTTTACGTGTCTTTTTTAGAATAATTTATTAATTGTGTTTATTATTATAATAATTTCACTCTTAAAATAAATTTGTGTTTAGTTAATATCACATATAACCATAAAATTTATTTTTATTTGTAAAACTGTAATAATATATTGATAATTTTCATTATTATATCTGTAAACATATTTTTAACTAAAAGATATTTTTAAATATAGGTATAATCAATAATATATAAAACCACGACCAAAATTAATTTTTATTTATTAAAGATGATTTTTTTCATTATAGTAATGTGTTTTTTCGGTATTATAAAATGTTATCATTTAATATATATAACTAAGATTCAAAATCGACTTTTATATAATAAAGATAAAATAATAGAAACAGTTTTCCATTATAAGTAACTTTGTTGCTGAAATGGCTGACCGTTAATGTTTTATTTGGTAAAATCATGTCTCTCCCTTGCAATATATTCTTGCATCTTCAAAATAATTATTCAGCTGATATAGCAAAGTAGTCACTTTACCACCAGCCTAGTGGAGAAGAAATTTATCATTCAAATTCTCGACAGTGCTCCAAATATATAGCCTCCGTACTTTCACCACTATGAACCATTTAAGCAGTCATAAATTTGAAAGATATAGTTCACACTTTGAATCCATCAGATTACTGTCAGATTATGCCGATGCTATTGAGACAGATTGGCCAATAAGAGCAACCTAAGGAATAACATATGCTTTTGGTCATTAACAAAAAAAAAACATATGCTTTCGGAGACCCCTGATTTGTAAGAAGATCCTGAAGTGCTGTAAGGGCTTTTGAGTTCTCTACTGTTTGGTCAATTTTGCTGATAATGCCTATTATTCCTAGTGATTAATAGACACTAAAATTGGCCGTATGACATCATTGTGTTGAGCATATTCACCAATCTTGTACAGAAAATTAAGAAATAAATGACCGATTAACAATAAAAACATAGCAAAAATTCATAATAATGTTTTTCAAAGAACACCAGAATAAATCTATGGGTAACGATAGATGAAGAGCTAGACAAAAGGTATTAAAGAGTTCAGGAACTCACTCCATTAATAAGAAAGTATACGCGGTGCCAAGACCGACCTCTTGTCCTGCGGCGTCATCCTCTGCGTCCTCCTCCCGTTTCAGAAGGAGAATATGATGATTAGGTACCGAAAAATCTTCAACACTGAATTCGAATCCCCGTTGTGGAATTCTTCAGGCGGGCGGAGGACTGGATCTCGATTCCAGTTGCGATGTCCGTGGTTCCGCAAGAACTTCACTTGCTCACTCGCTTTCAAAGTCGGCGAATCAATATCTTCGTCAAGCAACAAAACGGAGGAGGAGATGAAGTAGAGAAACCGATCCCGACAAAATTCTTCAACGCATTCGAGTTTATATCATCGATGCCGTCAAGTGCAATCTGTCGAACCTGTTTTATCAAAAAATACAAAATATTTAAATAAAATAAATGATCAAATACAAAAGTAAATAACAAAATTAATAAATAAATCTATACATATATAGGTACATATATTTTTTTATTTGATTATTTAACTTAAATTTGAATTTTATTGCATCTAAAAAAATTGTTTATTTTTTGTTAGTATAATAACTTATGATATAAGAAACGATCAGTTTATCACATTTTTCCTCACAACTTTATCTTGTCTAATTCAATTTTAAAATAAGGATTAAAAAAACCCTTCAACTATTGTTTCCATCTCCAAAAAAATCTTCTACCTAAATTTTATTATAAAAATCACTAAAAAAAACAGTATTTTAGCAACGCAAATTTTTCGTTGCAAACCTACAAATTTCGTTGCAAAACAGGGTTTGCAACGAAATTGCAACGGAAAAATTTTCATTGCTAACTCGTCGTTGCAAACCAATATAACATTTCAATTCGTTGCAAATTGCAATGCTTTGCAACGAAACATTCTTAATGAAGAGCAAATAGTGATTTTTGTATATAATAGATATTACTAATTGGTATGTGTGAATATATATGTGTATATCTTGGAGAGAAAAGCGTCTTCGTCAAACCGAGAGAAGCAGTGACATGGATATTTCTGAAGACCCAATTTGTTTATTATGGTAACCAAGGAAAAACTCAACCTGTAATATTGCAATAATCAATTTCAGACAGAAGAATATTGAGTTGTAATTAAAAAATGAATTAAAAAAAAAGAAAAGAAAGAGAGCCCGATTTGACCATTACGAAATTGACGTCGTCTGTTTAAACCTTAGCTCTCGCAACTCATTAGTAGTCACACAATCATCCAGTTGGTGATCTGCGAGCATTAGAACCATATTTAGAGAGAATTTTATTTAGCGCTTGTTGAACAAATCTTACATACTCGGACCAAATAGATCAATCTCCATGCAGTTGTAATCACCTTCAACCCCAAACCACTTATGGTGAGGAACACGGATTTCAAAAAAACGAAAGAGTATAAACAATCAATAAGCGAAATTATTGGTTCAAAAAAAATAAACACATTGGTTGGGATATGACTTACTTTCTCCATGTAAAAACATGTAGGGCCTACATAGTGAAGTCGGTGATGTCTAACCCTCAAGGTTTCTATATAAAGATACAAAATTATTAACATAAGAGTTTAGGTAAACCATTCAAGGGAAGAAATATAGAACAAAGATTTTGAGACACTACATTCTACTACCATAAGAGATCTAATTACAAATGCCACCAAAACGACTATGAGACGTATATATATCTCTATCATAGTAATGCGATTTTGACACGAAATTAAATGGAAATAAGACAAATAAAATACAACTTACCATCTTAACAGCTACTTGTTTTTTAAGTATACGAATACCGGATTCTTGTACAGAGCATAGGAAAACAAAGACCATTATTTGTTATTAGAAAAAAAAAACTTCTCGTGGTAGCAATTCTAAAGGTGCTGACTTAAATGGCATATTAATACGTAATTACCCTATGAATACGTGGAGCTTGAAGCATCTTTGTGCGTTTTTTCTTGAAGCTTTATGTATTTAATTATTATACATGTTTGTAACATAAAACTGATAATATTCCAATATAATATAAAACAAAATATTAACTAATACAAACTTTAACTATTTATTAATTATAATAATTTGTTAAAAATTCAGCTAATAAAGATTTTTATAAACCAATCAAAATTGAAAACACATCCATGTAAGATGATTAGGTGGCTTCACCACAACTCTTTTGATTATTTTTTTTAAAATTTTGTTGATATATATATATATATATATATAATTTGGAAAAATTATCCAGTTATAATAAATATAGTGTATATTTCTCTACATGATTTATATATTTGGTGTCATTTTTGTTATAAATAAACCCTAAATCAGCACCTGCACAATGCATGGATTTTGTATTTTTACATATAATTTTTATTGTATAATGTATTGGTATTAATATAGTAAAAATAATATTATTATAATAAATATATCTAGAAAATTATTATAAAATTAATATTATATTATCTTTATAAAGAATAATAAAAAAATAAAGATAAGAGAAATATGAATATACACATAAATACCTCTATATATATATACATATATATATACATCCATGTAATCATGTATATATATATTCACATACGCTAATATACATATATATAGATATACATATATATGAAATACATATACACTTCTATACACACATAAATACATCTATATTTACATATATATATATACATATATACATATATGTACAAAATTTTAAAATTTAAAATAAATATAAAAGATACATACATACATACACAAATATAAACACATATATATACATATATATATATATACACATCTATATACATACATCTATATCTATTCAAATATTATACATATATCCATATACATTTTTTTGGTATGACATATATCCATATATAAAACTATAAATAGATAGATTTTTTTTTGTACCTTGCTGTATAGGCAGTGTCAAACCATGTGTTGAACAAACAAATTAAAATAAATAAATAATGAACTTTAATAATGATAATCAAAATTAGAAACATCACTCTCCCTTTCTCTCCCTCAATTGGAAATTGTGTACAAAATAATATGAAAAGCTGAAAATACAAAAAATATCAAATCATATCTTATGGTGATTAAGTAGCATATTTGATCTATATTTTACCCAACTAAGTTTGCTTTCCATGATCCCTACAAAATTATTAAAAAAATATTATTCTTCGGTCCAAATATTATATCTGGTTTAACAAAAACGACATTATTACTATAATGTATCTGAACAGTTCAGTCGAGCCAACTGATTTTCGAATCTTCGATCAACCATAAGAAGTTATGGACTTCGATCAACCATAAGAAGTTATGGTGGCAACTTACGGACTCAAACCAATCTCTTAATCGAAATATATAACACAAAAAAATCATCTAAAATTAGTACAAATAATTAAATTAGAGAACAATTACCCAATATGAGATTCCCTAAAAAATCATCTAAAATTAGTACAAATAATTAAATTAGAGAATAATTACCAAATATGAGATCCCCATCAACCGGATGTTCGATAGAAAGTGACTCATGGCCTGGTACTAAGAACCTTTATAGTCATTTTTAATAACGTAACTTTTTTAACATATGGCATTAAATATACCCCCACTCTTTTCTAATATTAAATTTACCCCACTCTTTTCTCAATACGTTACCAATATATTACTTACCCCCACTCATTTCATTATTTATTTCATATTTTATTACAATTATTAATATATTAGTCATGACCATTTACTTATTAATTTAATAAGTTCTTAAATGACAAATAAAATTTAAAAATATTGGATGATGATGTGGAGGTGAGGTGGCTTCACCACAATCCTTTAAACACAACTTTTAATATATATAGATTTGGTTCGGTTTCGATCCGGTTGATCGATTTTTATTAAGAAAATTTTATATCTTTTTAAACAATTTCGGGTTTTCGATTTTTAAAAATCGCTTCAATTCGTTTCTATTCCACGCAATTCGATTTTCTAAAAAATGATAATTGAAAATTTTAAACGAATCGATTAAAAAATATGGTATTTTTTATTTCGGTACGGTTCGGTTTAGAATTAGGAAACCTACACCCTAGTAAATATACATTCAAATATGGTATGTAAATTTATTTAATTTTCGTCATTGACTTTCTAGGGAATTGTATTGGTTTGAATTGAAAAAGAAAGACTTTCAAAGATAAGCCTCTGACTTCTGAACCACATTCCCATTCCCACGCACGCAGAAAACAAATAAACGGTGCCATCAATTAAGGTGCCTCCTTTTTTCCCCTCCCATTAGACGTTGACCGTCTAATTTGTATTAATTACAAAATCAAATGAAAATTCAAAAAAAAAATACATTTACGCAAATCAACTTTGCAAAATGTGAAAAAATATTCCAAATATTGATTTGATAAAGCAAAACAATACATCATCATATGAAATTGATTCACCCAACAACCAACATATTGCACAATAATTTTACCGTTAATTATTTCTATTCGATCGTTACAGCTATTAAAATTGAAGAGAGTTTAGCGATGAAAACCCAACAGCTGACATATCAACACAGTGATTTTTAGAAAACAACCAATACATATCTACACACACACTAATACATATATACACACACATACATGTGTGTATCATACATATATGTGCATGTGTAGTATGTATGTATGTATGCGCATCTCTATGTGTATATATATACACAAATGTATATGTGTATAGCATATATATGTATATATATGTGTTTATATATGTGCATATAAATATATGTATAATGTATGTATTGTGTATATATATATATAAGAATCTATGTTTTGTTTTTTAATAAAGTAGTTTGATGACTTGGTAAATTAGTGACATGACGATGATATATTTGTTAGGATTCTTGGCAAAATATATTATACCAAAAGAAAATGACTATTTGCGAAGTATATTTAAAGAAAATGGACATTTGCATTTTTTTTCCTTTTTTCAATAATTTCAACTGACCCTTCAACAGATTAAATTTATATTTACCGAGGTAGTTGAAAATCCACCGCCATTACTAAAAAACTCAAATTCGTTTCATTCTAACATGTTGATATATGTATAAATATATATATAGATAAAACTTTCCTTGATATATATCTGTATATGTATATGTATAATTGAAATGTATATATATATCTATATACAAGAACTAAGTCGATAGGAGAGGAAAGTATGAAAATTGCAAATACGAGTTTTAAATTGTGATACACGTACAAAGCCCAAAGAATTTGCTTAACTGAAGTGTATCTCTCAAACAACTCTTATCATAAACATGTGTATGGTAACCCAACATACATCCTCAAAACTTACCCTTTTGATGGATTGATCTCAAGAGCATATCCCTAGATCCGAGCTGCGAAGAATTTGCCACCTGATCCGCGATTTCTGATCATTTCTCGGAAGATTATTCCATTTGAAAGTAAAGGATATGAAGGGCGGAACTCGGAATCTCCTCGAGAGAAGCCTTATGCGCGAACCAAGGACTGATGATGTTCCGAGCAGGCAGGAATGTCTCCGATGCTTCCTGGCCACCTATCAACTAGCTTAAACCCAAACTTAGACGCTGCTGATATAAGAGAGGGTTCATCGACCCTTCTGAAAACATGGCATAGAATCAAAGCCGGCTTTTCTGAATCTTCTCCACCGAATTTTTTCTGCGAAATCAGTTTTCTTGCTGTTTCAAACAACATTAAAATGGCGTCAGGGATATAGGTGACGTCTGTTCCTATGATGACATCAAACCCTTCTCCAGAAAAACCCCGGACGGCTTGGATTTGTTCTTCGTTTCCCCATTCTAGTACACCTGTTTTCAGTTTTTCTGTTAATGGAGACCGGAGATTGGTTGCGATGTTTTCTTAGCCGCTCGAGCGGCTACCATCGAGCAGATTCCCGAGCAGCCACAACCGAGCTCCAGCACCCGTTTTGCGGAAACAATGCTCGGGTTCCTGTCAAGAACAAAAGCCATAAGCCGAGCAGACTCCCAGAGCATCAGCCCCGTTGATTTGCAAGTATGTTGATATTCTTTTGACAGAAGCTTAATCTTGAAATCAGAATCCATGAACTTAACCTCGATCATCTAGAAAAAAAAACACGAAATAGAGAAACAGATAACAGAAAATGAGCATAAAATGGAAATATAGGGAGCCACTGGCAAAATATTTAGGGTAGCGGCATGTGAAAGAACAAGACGCAATGAAATTTTTTACCTCATGGTTCGATGGTGAAACTCCAAACATTTCAATCGCTACACCTTCCGATATGTCAACGTCACCGTTGTTATCAAGCTCTTCCATCAATTTCTCACTGGTTACAGGCTCCATTTTCGCTTCAGATCGTTGTAATTTGGCAGAAGCAGCTATATCTGAGCAGCGGAATACAGCTTGGACCCAGCGTCTAACCAGTAAAAACAAAATCGATTTCAGGTCGCAGTTTGAATATGTAGGATGCAAAATACAGAAATCAATTAACTTTCGGAGACGAAAGTGTATTTATTTTGTGATGGATAGTAATGTTAACTACATATACCGATTCATAACCAGTTCCCGCGATCGGTTCTCAACTTGTTTGCAACAGACACCAAGCTCCTCAACTTCGAACCCTTGTTCTTGAACTAAAGTTGTCAAGAATTCATTTGAAAAGTAGAACGCTCGCTGCAAGCATAAGGTGGAAACATCAACATCAATGCCCAAGAAAACAAGTAACAGCACGGGAATGTGGAGGAAGCAAGACGGAAACTTACAGTGCCATCACCTCGGACATAAAAGTTTTCACTGATCTTCTGATCCTTCCCAGTAAATCGTTCCTGTTGATTTAACACAGAGAGTATCAAAAAACTGATATTCGTGATCTATAGCCATATCATCATTAATCTAAAACATGAAAATTCAGATAGTAATCAGCTAAGCAAGTCCTAAGGCTCCTCAAGAAAGCTCTTTACAAGGAAACATAAAAATGTTCCTGACAATGATATCGCCATTGCTTCACGAAAGACTTGTAGAAGTCTTATTCATTAAACAAACAAGCAAATTGAAGGCATATCGGAATGGATATTCATATGGTCTTAGTGTACATCTAGAGAATTTTAATTAGACCACAATGGTAACACTGAGATGCAATGACTTCATTTTTTTCCTAATTGAAAACTAAAGAGAAATTGAAGGATGGTAAAACCTGAGCAAGATCACCAGTCGCATAGTCACGGAAGAGCACACACCCATTTGGCTGAAAATGGAAAAAAAAAAGTCAGAATAGCTGAGAAACCGAGGAATTCAGATTTCCATTTCAAGAAAATACGGATATTGAATCACATTAGAATGAATGTTTTTGATACCTTTAGCACTTTCCGAATATTCTGCAATACTAAGGGCATCTTCTCTGGACTAACTGCAGATAAAACAAACATCTGTTTAACAAGTCAGCTATTTAACGGGAGACAAACTTCATGATAGGTAAATAATAGGCTCAAACATGTGTTACTTAACGATACAAAAATCAATAGGAGGAAATCATCGAGCAAAAGATAGTCTAGTGACTAAGAAAACCTGATAGGTTCCTAACTTCTAGTCAGTTACCATTTGTTTTCCTTTTTTGGGGATTAGGAAAATACCATGGTCACAATATCAACTGATGACGGAGAAATATGCTTGTCAAGGTCATCTGTAGTCAAGTCACATATGAATGCACAAACACGGGTCTCTGTGAATTCCTTATGAGCCTGAAACTCATAAAACAATACCAGTATTCACTCACTTAGATCAGCAGATCAAGTACAGTAAATGTTAACTTTAGACCAAGTGAATAGGTCATTGATGGAGTTAATCATCAACATTAAAACATACGTAGACTAAAAATAGGAAGTCCGTACCCACCAAAGAAGGAAATAGCTGTATATCTAACATAAGCAAGATAATAACAAAATACAAAAAAAGACTCTGTGAAGAATATGATTGATATATCTTACTGGCTGTCCCATTATCTCATGAGCCACATTAGATGCCAGTAATTCAAACAAGGTTGATGCACACCATATACAAATAGTACACAATACAATGTGATCACTTTAGAAGATGAAGCAATAAATTGAACACAGGTAACAGTCGAGGCAGTAAATATACCTTAACATGCGCTCAATGTACGAGAGAAGATTCTTAGCATATATCGATTATCAAGTTAAGGCATCGATTAATTCACAGTGCCAGATCTCATGCTCATAAATTATTGAAAAACACACTGCACTGCTCAACAAGAATTAAAGTTTACATGATCATGACGTATTTAGCCACAAAAAAGATCTCAACAGAGAGGTAAGAAAAAAAAAAGGAAGTGAAAGAAAGAAAAACTAACCTTCACAAGTTCAACAGCCCGTGGGGAAAAATCACATGCATAAACAAAAATTTCCGGATATGTGGAAATCAATGGAAAGATGGTGTTTCCAGCCCCACAGCCAACCTGCAGACAATGAACAGTTACCCAGCAATTTGTTTAACAGAATAGGAAAACAAATTATTAGATTTAGATATAGATTAGGAAAAGCTTGAACATTTGTGATTACCTCTAGCATGACCTTATTTCCACCAACCTGAAAAAATAAGCAAAACCCATCTCCATGACATGACCAGATACAAGAGATGCAAAGCAGCAAACGTCAGAGAAGATTTGTGTTTTACAACTCACCGAGAAATAGCTGTCCCATTCCTTGTCCAAGTAGTGGCGATCTTTGAAAAACTGATAAAGAAGAAAAATAAGCACATAAATAATTAAACTCTCATGTTGCAAAATAATCACATACATGGTGATCTCATGCTGTAAAATTGTATGGTTGCTAACAAATCAAACCAAAGACAGTAACATCGGTACTTTTACCAGATGTATATACAATTTAAAAATGAAAACACGGCATGAAACGTTTAGAAGATAGTCAAATAATTTGTTCGAGTAGATGACAGAGATAGCATTTTACATGTGTGAGAAGCTTCTTTTCACATCTTTCTCTAAAACATAAAATTTACCAAAATCATTAGTTAATCCATCCTGCGAACACTTGCTACCCGATGTTAAATGGATCGCTGTACACTCACTGAACATAACAGTAGCTGCTACACAAGAAACGAGAAAGGAAACAACCACAAAGGCTTACTCTATTTCCATGCCGCTTATAAAATATATCCCAATACTTTTTAGCTTCCCTTTCATACTTCTCTGCACCAACAGTAAGACCCGAAACAGTTTAATAGGACAAAGATGCAAAATTAGCTTTAAATACATAAAATGTTTCGGACGTTTATGCTTAATGACCTCGCCAGAATGGGGAAATGCCTGCATTGGATGTAGGATAAATCTGCATCTTCTGAACCCGCTCTTGCTGCTCAGCGAGCCTTCGCATACTAGATGACATTATCCTCACCTTGATTTCACAAAATGTATGCGGAAAAGGTTCACAATTAGGGCTAAATAGCTTATCATATTCGATGTAAATTAATCATATATGGGTATTTGGAAACAATACACTGTAATTGTAGACCAGGAGTGCAGTAAAACACATATTACACCAAGAATCTCTTACGTAAAACTACATCTACATTGCCACCTTCATAGAATTATGGAGAATACACGGCTCGATTAGCTACAACAAAAAATGTGAGTAAAATTGAAAAATTTTGCCCAGAAAATCCATGATCCTCGTAAGCACAAATACACACGTACGGCCATATTCATGTCTATATTACAAATGCCTGTTCCAATGATTCTATCATGATTTCGATTTGTAAACCTGAGATTAGATACCTCCATCGACAGAAAATTCAAAATGACCAGAAAATCCTAAAATTCAATACGATGAAACGATTTTCCCTAGAAACAGACAAGAACTAAGCTGGCGATTCTCTGATTGAAAGTTGAACTGAAAAGCCAGGCTCTAACCTGTTTTCGATTTTGGGACCTGAGAGACTGAATGAATGAATAGTATTAGGGTTTTGGCTTCGCAAAGGTAGAGAATGTACTTAACCGAAATCTGGCTAATACCGACGGTTAATGATCGGAGTTTAACCGGGTCTTAACTGAATCCAAAACCGGATTCTAGGCTCGGAGCGGATAACTATGGAAAAACCTATATTAGAAGTTGGAACATTCCAAACAAAATAATACACAGTTATAAATTAAAAAAAATACATTATACGGTTATTATTTATACCAACTGTATAAATGGACAGTAATTTCGAAATTTTTATAAATAAGTTATGTAGATTTATTTATTCGTATACTGAAAAAGAAATAAGAGATATATTGTTCTTCATTTCCATAATAAATCGATTTTATAGTTAATGATTTGATTTTCGACTATATTTTTTCATTTTAATAATATACACCAATTTAATAATCTGTCATTTAAATACATGAACTTATTAATCGAATTGTATCAATAATATACCGATTTACAATTTTGTCACATATTCTCACGTGGTTAAAAACTACCACGTTATACTAGAATTAGTAAACTGATTCGTTTTAAACCAAAAATAAAAAAAATGACAGGTTTGAATTATGAGTGACAAGTTTATGTTAGGTTAAAACAATAAATTTAGTTTTACTAGGTAATACCCGCGCGTTGCGCAAGTTATTCTTTTTTTATATATAAATTTTTTTTTATAGTAATATAATTTAAATGATAGAAATTATTTGTTTGATATGTAAAAATTATATTTATAAACTTTAATTATTGTAAATCATTATTATATTGGCTATATAAAGAATATCAAAAAATAAAATTGTTAAGATATAGCCGGTTTTTCTTTTCTTTGATCTATTATAAATATTTAGTTAATAGATAATAATGGTAATAATATTGTTAAATATTGTAGATATGATTTATTTCTAGTATGGTTAATTTTATATATTTGATATCAATCTTTTTGGTGATGTTGAGTTGTACATCCATATAAATATTTGTCGATGATAATGTGTTTAGCGTAAGAATACCTAATTCATAAAAGTGCTAGTATTTAGTATGATAATAATATTATTTTTAATATAAATCTATTGCATAATCTAGAGATTGATATTTGTTATAATATTTATCGTTGATAAGTTTTGTATTTATATCATTATGATATTCATTCTGCTCTAAGCAAATCTCCATTGTAAAATTATCTCATACATACTCCATCTCCTTTCTTTATATATCTCCTATCCTCTTTCTTCTTATATCTCTTATTCTTTCTCTTCATCCATCTTTTTGCCAGTTTTCTCTCCCCATTACCACGATCACACGAAGCCCAAAACCTTTAAACATGTTGCAACATCTGGAACTGGGTAGAATGCTATGCTCCAAGAACTGAATGCTCTGATCCATAATGGTACTTGGGACATTTGCACACTTCCTTCTGATATGGTTCCAATAGGTTACAAGTGGGTTTATAAGGTGAAATACAAAGTTGAACGGACTATTGACAAGCGGAAAAGTCGGTTGGTAGCTAAGGGATATTCACAGCAGAAAGGAGTTGATTTTCTTGATACTTTTAATCCAGTTACTAAGATGTCAATTGTTCGGATTCTTCTTGTTCTGATTTCTTCTCAAAATTGTCATTTTATCAGATGGATGTTTGAAACATATTCTTGAATGGTGATTTATTTGAGGAGATTTACATGAAACTGTTTCTGAATTACTCTGAGCTTAAGGGGGAGTATGTTTGTAAGAATTCTGTTTGCAGATTGCGAAAATCTCTTTACGGGTTGTGTCCAACTTCTAGACAATGGAACATTTGACTCTCAGAAGTTTTACTGTCAAGTAGTTTTTTGTAAGCTCAAGCAGACAACTCTCTGTGTTTTAAACATCATGGATCAGAATTTGTTGCAGTGTTGATTTATGTTGATGACTTATTTATTGATGGAAACAATATAGATTTGATAATCACTGACAAAGTATATCTTTGGTCACATTTCTTTTTGAATGACCAGGGAACTTTAAGGTATTTTCTTGGATTTTGGGTGGCTCGGTCTCGACATGGTATTCACATATGCCCACAAAAGTATGCCTTCGAATTGCTTGAAGAATTTGGGATATTGGTTTGTAAACCGTGCTCTTCCCCTATGGACCCTAAGGTTAAGTTGACAACAAATTTCGGTGAACCTTTACTTGATTCAAAGATGTATCAACTGTTGATTGACAAACTCATTTACCTTTCTGTGACTCACCTTGATATCTCTTTTCCAGTGCAAAAACTTAGCTAATTCATGTCTGTTGCTACTGCTCATCTTGATGTTGTCTTATGTCTTTTGCATTATATCAAGTTTGCCCGTCACAATGACTCTTTTATTCTTCAGAACTTTCGATTCATCTGAGTGATACACTGATGTTGACTGGGCAACCTTTACAGATACTCGACGGTCATAGGCTTCTGTATGTTCCTAGGGATCTCATTGATCAGTTGGAAATCCAAGAAACAGAAAATTGTTTTTCGTAGCAGTGTTGAGTTAGAATTTAAAGCCATGGCTCTGGCAACATCTAGGCTCATTTAGATTTCTAGTCTATCGTGAGTGCTTTGAATTGATTTTCCTTAACTTGTAACGCTATTCTGTGACAGTCAATTGACAATCCATATTCCCAACAATCCTATCTATCATGCGCACACAAAACATATTGAAATTGACTGTCATTTCATTTGGAAACATTTTAAGAATGGTTTTCTTCGGCCACTAAATGTTCAGTCGCACTGACAAATTGTTGACATTTTTACCAAGCCTTTGGTAGGGATCATTTCAAACATCTAATGTCCAAGATGGGAACACACAATGTGTTTTCTCTATTTTGAGGGGAAGTATCCAAGATGGGATCCGATATTTTTTTACGATATTCGTATCCGTATCCGATCCGCGCAAATATTAAAATTTATTATTCGTATCCGATCTGTAATTTTCGGATATCCATAATTTTAAATATCCGTATTTTTTACGGATATTTACAAATATCTGTATCCGATAAATAAATAAAAAATAAAGATAAAAATAATATTTGTTCCGAAGATTTTCCCGTCGACGACTTGATCCACTTGCAGAAGCTTAACTTCTCAAACAATAATATGAATAATCTAAGGAGATTAATGAATGTTTTTGAATGTGTTGTAATAAAAATAATTAGTGGGATATTTAAACCAATTAGAAAGTGTAATGGGAGCATTAAAAAGATGATTAGTGGGTTAATCAATATGGAATTAATTAGAAAGTGTAACGTCCACCGTTTTTTGTTTTTGGTTTAGCTTTTTACATAATGAAGTTTTAAACACTAATTGCATTTATTGTCTACTTCATGATCATGTTAGAATGACCGTTTTTTATATCTAATAAAGTTGATATTTTTGTATTTTTAATTATAATAATTTGTTGACATTTTTTTATTTTTTATGTGATTCATCTCAAAATTTTAATGTAATGTTTTATTTATTTATTTTTATTAACATAAAATCATCAATATAAAAAATAAATATAAAAACTTAAAAAAAGTGATAGGTATTTTATATAATAAATATAGGTTTTTACAATTATAACAATTTATTGATATTTTAAAATTATTGATGTGTTAAAACTAATGACAATCTATTATAATACCAAAATTATATAGATAATCAATATCCAATCAAAATTGAAAAAATTGACATGTAGGATGCTTAGGTGGCTTCACCAGAATCCTTTAAACACAATTATTAATATATATATAGATTTTGTCGAAGAGTGATATAATGATAAATGGTGACCTAGAGGAGGGAAGGAGATCATTAATGATACATGAAAAGACATAGGTTTTGAATGAAAATGATTTTTATTTTGAGTTTTTTTGTTTTAATTTTTGCATTCTATAATATTTGTAAAAAAAAGTATTTTTTAATTTTTATTTTAAATTTAACTATTTTAAAAATAAACGATAACTATAAGATTTAATAATATCATTTTTAGTATTATCTTAAAACTAAATTTTCTTACAGATATAAAAAAAATAATTCAGTAACGAGAATACGTCAAACGAGTCATTGATATCAACTTTATACACCGTTTTATATAATGATGTTCATATTTTTTTAATTCTTTGCTTTTTTAAATATATGATACCATGATTGGTGACGTGGAGGAGAGAAAGAGATTTAGATGAAACATAAAGTAAAGACTTAGTCTTCAAACAGTTTCCATAGTGGAGTGGTTTCCACTTTCCCATTTCCTTATGTATAGGATCACATTGTGTGTGTTCGGTTATTGTTTTTCTGTATTTAAAGTCTATGATTAAGATGAATAAAACGGAGAGTATTTTTTTCGAAAGACGTTGTCGATCTTACTCTTGATTGGGACCTATCAATATATGATTTTACAATAACTTAATCTTATAAATATATTTTTTCTAAATCAAATAAATAATGATTTTTTACTAAATTCATATCAACAAATGTTATAATAAAATAATCAATAAAAAACTCGCGCACACCGAGTTTAACAAATAACCAACAAGAGTAAGAGCAGATCACACTTTGGAAGCATTTTGGATTCTGAAAAAACACAAACAAAAATCAGAAGAAAACAAGAAACAACAAGACGACAACCACACGTGAACGACGATTCACAGTCGGAAACAAAATATCACATACAGCCATTGGTGTTTTGTGACATTGAAACCAGAAACTTGAAGGATGTGTTCTTCAACAGCATTGGTTCATGTCCTGTTGCGGCGAGGGTCCGGTCCTTGGCTTCCCATAGTTTCTCATCCTCAGAAGACCGTACACTACAACCCCAGAGACGAACCCTATTGCAGCGTTTGATCCCAAAGACGTGGCTGCGCATACAAGCATCACAAACGAGTCTTCCTTTGTGTTCATGTCCCTTGCAGCCATCGCAAGTTCTATCCCTGCAAACAGAAGCAATGCTCCCAACACCCCGACAGGAAACCGGTCGAGAATCGCAACCAGCGAGCTCCCCAAGACCAGCCCCAACACCATTTTGGCCAACCCCAAAACGGCGACACACCCACCACTCCTTCCACCAAACTTGTATTGCCCGGCTAATCCCCCGGCCCCGTGACAACACGGCATTGCCCCGAACCAGCATCCAACCACATTCATCAGCCCTACGGTCGCTGAAACCGACGTCGCTGAGAATTTCTTCTCGGGGAAAAGGTCGTAGGACAGCTTACACACTGCCACCACTGAGTTCAGTATAGACAGAGGCAACTGCGGGATCGCCCCTTTTATGAACCCGTTCTTCCATGCTTCCTTGCTGATTTTGACCACGTGTATCGGGGACGGTCCGAACTTGATGTCGTGAACAATCTTAGGCCTTCTAATGAACGCCAAAACGACACCTAAAAAGAATATGATCAAAGCCGATGGCACATTGGCTAAAACATTCCTTATCTTCCTCATCCTCGACACCCTCCTCGGACCACCATCAAGTGTTTCCTCCCCGTCACGCCTTTCTTCTTCGCCCGAGCCGTTGACAAGAATTATGAAGAGGGTGCATACTAAAGCCAGTATCAACCCATCTAAACCCAGCCATGGTCTATTACCAACACTCTTGGACTTGGAAAAATTTTGCACCTTTCTGATGTACTTAACCGCAGACATTGCAAAGGACAAACCTTGTGACAGTTGAATCCCTCGAACAATTGATAAAGGAATGATATTGTACACGAATTGCATCAAACCCGAGACGCCGAGCACCAATAATATCCCTCCGGTGCAAATTCCGGCTGCCATGATCTCAGGGATGCCAAAATCTTGCCCACTCGATATCGCCACAGCAGAAATCGATTTCATCGGTTGGACCGGCATCGGTACGCCGTAAACCGCACCGGTTATGGCGTTGTATATGCCAGTGAATATCAACGTCGTGCCCAGATCCAAATCTTTGGCCAGTGTCAAGGCCAGGACTATCGGTATGTATGTGCCTAGATCACCCATTGCACCGTTCAGCTCGGCCCATCTCGACCGGAAAACCAGATTGGTTTTCAGTTTACCGAATGTTCCGGCAAACCAAACCGGTTTCGACGGTTCGTGTTGATCGGTTTGGGACTCCATTGTCGTATTGTGTGTTTGTTTTGCTCTCTCTGTGTCATGAACGGAACGAGCTTATTGAGGTTTCTGTAGACAGAAGAATATGTGCTCATTTTCTTATATAGAAGAAGACAGCTTTGACACGGTGGTTTCATAATTTTCATACTGCGGTCCTTATATTTGTATTTATTTTGTTATCGGACCAAATACTTTAACAAATTGAAATTAACACCAAGGATTTTCATGACATTGAGAAAAGATCACTCGGACAAATTCTCCTTCATCTTATTTTACGTTGATTAAAATATATTATCTGTATAAAACCTATCAAGTAATAATTCATATTTATATTATTTGTTATAACACTGTACCTGTTGCTTATTTAGACTTTAAATAACCAACTACAATTTAAATTTATTTTTCTAAGTCATTAAACAATCACTTGCCATTAAATTTGTTTTATGATTTTTAAATCAGTAGATGTATTTAGATTAGCTAATAATACGGGATCCGTATCTTATATAGATATTGTAAAAACCGATTACCATTAAAATCCGTAATACGTGATACAATTGACTACATCTCGTTTGTTTCATTACAAATTCGCAATTTTATAAGCTAGGGTTTGTATAGCAAAGTTAAACGAGAATAGGGCGGGTTCTGGAGGAATATAGTTTGAAATGGACACACGGCGCTATTCATGCATTTACGAGAGAGAGAGAGAGAGAGAGAGAGAGAGAGGCCTTTAGGGGAACGAAAGGTCATTAATTCTCGATGGCTTTGGGCCGTTGAATTTGGGGTATTGACACTTTCTCCAATCCAATGTTCTGATTCCTTATCTCACTCTGTCACGCAATTAAATTCTGTTTAATAAATTTATTATTAACATAAATTACCAATTATATATATATATATATATATATATATATATATATCTCAGAGAGGTATGGACGATTTTGTTTCCATCGATTTTCTTATTTATAATTTATTGGTTAAAATAAATATTATGTTTGTATGTTAGGACTGAATCTCGTATACATGATTTTGGATTATTTCCTGGTTTTGGATTATTCGACTCCAATTTGTTTCTTTATGATTTTAGGGTTCGAAATCGGTGGTCACATTTGTGTGCAGGGTATCCTGTTTTTGAATATGCGTGACATTTCAAATAAGTCTGGATCGCGAATTGTGTCGCAAGTCTATTCATATTTTATCGAGTTACGTTCAGTCATTTCGGAAAAAAAAAAAAATGGGTCGAATGAACTAATTCGTCATGAGTTGAACTCGTACGAGTCATCACGGTGAATCCACGAATTGGTTCACGAGTAAAGAAAAAATACTTTTATTCAAAATTTTTATTTTTTAATATTTATTTAAAATTTTTAATATTTTTATTATTCTTAATATTTTGTATTATAATCTCTTTTTCCTTATTTTATAATATTTAATATGATTAACAAAAATTATTTTATATTTTTTTAATTACATATTTGACTCGCGAACTGATTCGTTTGACTTGTAATCTAAGACCAGTCGGATTAAACCACATATTTTTTTGTCTCACTACAAAACGGGCGAGTTGGGTTAGACTCATAAATTCCAAGATCTAGGTGGGTTGGGTTGATCCGAGGGGTTAGCCCGTTTTACAATCCCAAAAGGCGACGAGACGAAGAGCAAGAGAGGTAGCAGTTGCATCAAAGGATCGATGCAGATGGGGTGAGTAGAGACGAAGGGAAAAAAAAAAAAAAAAAAAAAAAAAAAGAGGAAAGAGAGGTATTCGATAGCTAATTGTGGGTTGGCGGAGGGGAGACGAGCTACAAGGTAAAGTGATGTAAATCTCACACAATTTGTCATGAAACCCGACAAAAATTATAAAAAACAAATCTTTTCTCTAATTAGATTCTTGGAGATCTCGATCTCTAACCAGATATGAAAGACTTAATCTTAAAACAAATCTAACAATCGGCGTGACCTAAATTTAACATCATGATTAGCACCTTTAGTATGAAAAGATATCGCAAATGGTTATAACTGAGGTTTAATAAGTCGAAATAAAAAATATAGATAGATAAAAAAATCAAGATAGAACAAATCACACAACAAAATTGTTTTCATCTTAAAAGTTTATTGTATGATTTCCGAGAATATATGGCAAGATATCTAACTATTTAAGATGCACAAACTTCTAGAGAAGGTTAAAAATATCCATTTAGATTTTTAAAGTTTATTGATGATGTTTTTTTTACCATCAAATACCTTCCTTGCCTTGCACGGATTTTCCAAAATTCTTGGCAAATTGTCTTTAAATGTATAGCTTCTTGTTTTCAAATTAGTATCTTTCTCGAAGTTCATATCTATGGAAATATTTTTATCATTCTCTCTTTAAAAGGATTCTTTCTTGAATCTCACAACACTCGAGAAAATGATCAATTTTTTTTTTGGTATTTAGATAACATGTGTCCTATCATATATTTTTTTAATAAATTTGTCTAGTATTTTACATATTTGTTTGGCTCCCTGAAATTATTTCTTTGTGATATATTCAAATGATTAATGTAACAGCCTACATGTGGGCTTATAAAAGAAGTTGAAAAGATATGATATGAATGAATGGGCGAATAGTTCAACACACTATTTACTTGTCAACAAAAAAATTGCATTTATTTTTTCACGTTCTGGAACCTTTGTTGACATTCCATGGCTTACCCATCTGAGAGTGAACAAAAGAAACAAGAAACCAGCAAAAATCAGGCAGAGAAGATCGTTTAAGTAGGGTGAACGATTCGGTATTCGGTTCGAGAATAATTCGATTCGATTTTTTCGGTTTTACAAAAATAGATACCGATCGGTTATTATATTATATTCGTTCTGTCCGGTTTCGGTTTTCATTTTAAAAAATTTTGATTTTTTTAAAATTAATACCGTTAAAAAATTTTGGATGGATCACGGTAACCGAAACACCCACCAGCTTTCCCACAAGTGATAAGAGGAGAATGGATGGAAATGGAAAACAGATGGAACCTCTAGTACGTTATCGTATCGGTCATCTGTTTTTCGCAGTATGATAAAAGGACCATATCACTAAATGTGAACATCGCAAGAGACAATTCCACAGCTTCTAATCCTTCATCTCCCCCATTTACGATTCAGACCTAAACTCGGAAAATCTAAAACAGAGGATATTTTGGCTTCTATCACGAGCGTAACAAACACAAACTGGGAAAAAAAACACACAATGAGACGATAGAATCAAGATGGAAAAGCATCTACATACGTGTATATATATATATATATATATATATATATAGCGAAAAAGATCTTGGCCGATCTGAAACCTCTTTACATAATAAACTATAAAAATAATTACTTACAACGTTTTCTCTTTTTTTTTTTTTTTGCAATCTCTTCTTCGGATCATTCCCTCTTTTTTTTTTTTTTTTTTTTTACTACTACCAAGTTCCCACAAAAGCATCCCCACCCATCATCACTCTTCCAAGTTTGATCCAACACTGTCCCCCAAGGTGTTATTTTGGTGCGTCAGAAAACATTTAAAAAAAAAACCCTACTTAAAGCTCTATCTATAGCCGATTTCGAGGGGGCGGCGGATGCTAAGGGTGAATGTGGAAATCTCTGTACAATGGTCGAGAACCCGAGACAAAAACCCTCCACATAGGCCAAAGGAAGAGGAAAGAAGAAAAACCACGAAACCCTGTTTTTTTTTCTTTTTCTTACCTCTGGAAAAGGATCTGAGCTGCTTAGAGAAGTTGGTTGAATGATGAAGGGGAACTAGTAGAGTTTAGGGTTTTCCGCTCTGTTAATGGCACTCGGAAGAAGAAGCTTTGGTTGCCTGTGCACACATGAGAGCAGCTGCTGCCTTCTGTATTACTAAATCCGCTTTGTAGCTTAACCTCTCGGCTCGTTCTCGCTTGAGTTTCGCCAATGCACGCGCACGTTTCGCTGCAGAAGCCGCGTCTCGCAGTCTGTAATCGTCAATATCAGTAGAATTATGTATTTCTTCATCCAGGTTCAGTCGCTGCTGCGAGAAATAAAAATTGGGACTGTGCCATTCAGAAAAATCCGGATTCCATCGGGTATTTCTCATCCTCTTCCCGTTCATTCCGTGGGTATATAGAGGCGATATATGTGTGTCGCCTGTGGATGCAAGGGCCCCGAGTTTCTTCGGGTTTTTTCTCTGAAACTTGTTATGGTGATTCTTTTCGTACCCATTTCCATTCGTCGAGAGATATCCCATGATGGGATCACGAGACAAATACATCCCGGGCAACACTTGGTGCATTGGAGATTCATCCAAGTAATCGTAGCCATGATTTAGATATAAAAACCTTTCATCCCCAGAAAAAGCAAAACCACCACCGGACCTTCTTCCTGCTAATAAGGAAAAAATTAAAAAAAAAAAGTCGGATTCTGGTCAAATTTATGAAATCACAAAGACAGGTTTAACACAACAAAAAACAAAGGACGAAGTGAGAGAGCTACCATTTGAGTTGAATCCCTCATGATCTCCGAATGACGTACCATGGTGGGTATAATCTGAGAGCTTCTTCTGTGACCTGTGCTTTGAACCCTTGTGCTGAACTTCCAAGCCTCGAGGCTTCAAACAGAAAGCAAACATCGCTGGCTTCTCAATAGGCGGCGCCCTTAGTTTATCGTGAGACCCGCAAGAATACGGAATGCTTGCTCTCATCATTGCCAGTTCCCAATCTCTCAGCTCTCCTTGATATTTTTCCCACAGCGGGGGCTGGAAGGGTGCAAAAGTTAAACAGAAGTCAAAGGTCGGTGCTTATGGCAGAAACATTAAAAAGGATCCTTTTTCTCATAATGCTACATGCCATAGGCATGCATTACACAGCCCTACATCCCTGCAAACTTGAGAATCTCAAACAATATGCACAAAGGAACAGAAAAGACGACAAAGTCATAAAGGATGGGAGGGAAGGGCATCAGATTTTTTTACCTGAAGATGTCTTATTAACGGCATTCCGGGGAGGATTTGTAATACCCCGATTCCCGTATAATTATTTAAATTATTTTCGGGAATAAAAAGGGGGTAAAACAAGGCAAAAATATAGAGAATATTTCAACGAAGGTCTAGAAGAAAAC